GATTCTATAAACCACGTTATATATAATTAATCTATATATAAATATTAAGAAATATAAGTTTGAAGTCACTTATATTATATTCTTAGGATATATTATTATAGATTATAGTGTAAAGATTAACTTAAGCAAGACTAAGATTATTTATAATTAGAAACCTTCTATAATAAGAAGAGATATATAATTATTTCTTAAGTTTTGTAATTTTTATTAAATATTTATTAAGAGATATAAACATATTATTAGGCCGCTTAGTAATCTAATAAGAAAGGATACTACACTAAAGTTCTAATTAGATAAGATTTAATTTAATACTTTTTATATATTATAATATAAGTTACTCTCTCCTCTTATCCTTACGTACTTTAAGCTAGAATATAAGACTTAAATAGAGACAGATTACTCTAATAAAGCCATAACTAGTATACTAATATAACTTGATCCTGCTAACTTATAATAATATCTTGTCGCTTTCTTCTCTATTATACTTAAAAGAGTAAAATACTATTATAAGATTTATAATAGAGAATATATTCCTTATTATAATAGATTATAAGGCGCTTAAGTATTTTAGTATTAAATACCTCTTTAATAAGTAATAAATTTAATAAATAGATGTTCTTTTAAGGTTTAACTATTACATCTATTACTAATCTAGCAAGAAAAATATTATAATAGATGTCCTTTTATATAAGAATAAAGCTACTCTAATACAGAAGAAAGCTAGAACATAAGAGAAGACTCAGACGCTATTAGATCTAATAAGAATAAAGGTAGCTATTATAAAGAATATTAAGAGTCTTAATATTATAGCAAAAGTTATTAAAGAGAACTAGGAGAGCTTAATTCTAATAAAAAAATGTTAGCTAATTATAATAAGATTAAATAAGTAGTTATTAAGAGATAGTTTACTATTATATAATAATAGACTTATAGTACTAAAAGATAAAAATAACCTATATATATATTTACTTTACTAGATTTACTCTTAGATAATTATAGCGTATTTAGGTTAAGTAAAAACATGTGCTTTAATAGCTAGGCTATATTAATAGTCTTATTAGAGTATAATATAATATATTATATTACTAACTATTATAAATGCTATTAATCTTATAAGCTATATAATAAGACGCCTAGTCTTTTATACTCCTTACTTATTCTTTTATAACTATAGAATAACCTCTTAATAGATTTTTATATACCTAATACTATTAGTAATAACTATAATATCATGTTTATAATAATAGATTGCTTAAGCAAGAGACATATTTACTTACTAATAAAGAAGATTACTACTATAACTACTATAGCTAACCTCTTTTATAAATATATATAGTAATTTAAAGAATGCTTAAAGACTATTATTAATAATAAAAGGCTATAATTTATTAGTATATTTTTTAATAAGCTATCTTGCCTCTGCTATATTAAGCTTAAGTTATTAATATTAGTTTACCCTTAAATAGATAGTTAGACAGAAATTATTAATTAGATTATTAATATAAGGCTTTAACTATTTGTAAACTACTTCTAAAATAACTAAGTATATTTTTTACTAATATTAGATATTATAAGGTTAGCTTTAGTCCATGAATTTATAGAACTTATATCTTATATAATTAAGTATAACTAAAAACCTTACTTAGATTTCGATTAGATATAAATAAGTAATAACTTATACTAGAATATATAAAAACAAGTTACTTAAAAATAAATAAAAGAGCACTTATACTATATTAATAAAGTAATAAGCTAGGCTAAAATAAATATAATTTTAGTTTAAGCTTAGTATATTTATTAAGCTAATAAAAAATGTTACTTACCTAATTTCTAATTAGGAGACCTTATATTTATTATTAAGAAGTTATAAAAAATAAATAAACCCTTAAATAAGCTAAACTATCCTATTATAAGTCTTTTTTATATCTTAAAGATAATTAGTTATTCTTATAAACTAGAGCTTTTGTCTTTTTATTATATCTTATTAGTACTATATATAGACCAGCTATATAAGGCAAATAATAATCCTCTCTCTAGCTAAATCCTTACTTTATCTTTTATAATTAAAGTTAATAAAGACCTTAAGTAAAAAGTTAAGAGAATTTTATTAATAAGAATTAGCAGAAGTCAGCTGGAATACAAGATATAATAGCAAGGATGAGACCCTAATAATATATAGTACCCTGCTAGCAACCTGCGGAACGCTCCTTTAGTATTATAAGCTTACTATAATGCACACCTATAGGAAGCTAGTCCACCCAAGCGACTCTAGCACTGGCTTGACAGTGCTCTGCAAGATAAGTCACCTTCAGAGCACCCAGATAATAATAGAGCAGCTACTCAAGAAATTAGGAAAACAAGGTGACACGCATCATAATGCTGTCGGCTTGATCTCGTTACCAGCTCAAACACTGCTGACTTGACCATGTGTTTCCTTGCTATTCTGTGGATCTTCTTCTATTTATATCTCTCTCTTTAAATACTGGTAACTGTGTAGCAGAAGAATATATTAGGCTAGCGTGCTATATTGTTGTGCTGTACTTGTTTTGCTATGTGCTGCTGCTGTGTGCTGCTGCTGTTTTGTTTTTCTTCTCATCAGACATAAGGGCATGTCGAGTCTTCTGGAGAGGGGGTGATGTCACGGCTGCCATGCTTGTCGCCCGCTAGCGCTAGGGCCGCGGGTATTGATTAGCACTAGACGTTAGTAAGGGGCATGCTTGTTATATAGAAGCGACTCTAGGGCCCTCACTGTCGACTCTCTAGTCTTAGAATAGTACTCAACATGGGCTGAAGATCTCGCGCACTCGTTGCCTGCTTTCAATGTGACACGTGATAACAGGCACTTTAGTTACATATTAAATCAATAAAATATCGTTGTATAGAAATAGAAATTATGATTATTACACAAACTGAGTGTATATTGTCTGCGGCTGATCCTGCTGTCAATCTGATATTTGAAAGATGCTGACGAGACCAGATTGTGCGCCAACCACAAGCTTGTCGCTATTAAAGGTGACGATGCCGCGATACTCATGCGGAAGCCATAGAAGATTTTGGTTTCTCCGTTGAATCCAATCAACTGATACACTAATCGTCTTGTCTTTGTATGCCTTGATACCGTCGGCATTAAGGGAATTGCCATTGCTTGCATCAAATGTTCCTCGGTTAGTTACTAACGTCGTATTATTGTTGGCAAAATAAATAGTTTTAATTATTGGAATTTTCTCAAGTCTTTTTAATACTTGACCGGTCTGCGTATCCCACAGTCGGATCGTGTGATCGTCGGATCCTGAAGCCACGAGGGCGCCGTCGGGTGAGAATACTACTGCGTTAACCCAGTTAGAGTGTCCCTCCAGCTTCTGTACTTCTCGACCCGTCTGTGTGTCCCACAGTCGGATCGTGTGATCGTCGGATCCTGAAGCCACGAGGGCGCCGTCGGGTGAGAATACTACTGCGTTAACCCAGTTAGAGTGTCCCTCCAGCTTCTGTACTTCTCGACCCGTCTGCGTGTCCCACAGTCGGATTATGTGATCGTCGGATCCTGAAACGACGAGGGCGCCGTCGGGTGAGAATACTACTGCGTTAACCCAGTTAGAGTGTCCCTCCAGCTTCTGTACTTCTCGACCCGTCTGCGTGTCCCACAGTCGGATTATGTGATCGTCGGATCCTGAAACGACGAGGGCGCCGTCGGGTGAGAATGCCACTGCCCTGACCGAGCTAGAGTGTCCCTCCAGCTTTTGCACTTCTCGACCCGTCTGCGTGTCCCACAGTCGGATTATGTGATCGTCGGATCCTGAAACGACGAGGGCGCCGTCGGGTGAGAATGCCACTGCCCTGACCGAGCTAGAGTGTCCCTCCAGCTTCTGCACTTCTTGACCTGTCTGTGTGCCCCACAGTCGGATCGTCTCATCGTTGGATCCTGAAGCCACGAGGGCGCCATCAGATCCTGAAACCAAGAGGGCGCCGTCAGGTGAGAATGCCACCGCCTCGACCGAATGAGAGTGTCCCTCCAGTTTCTGAAGCTCTAAACCCCATTCTATAAGACTCGTTGGATGCTGTTGTATCCATGTAGGAGGTCGACCGCAAATGTTTCGAACCAGGCTGGTCTGTGGCGCAAAAACGATTGCAGACGAATAAAGCTGTAGTGGTGCAAGATTAGCGATGAATCTATTTTTTAAAGATGAACCGCCGGGCATCTTCGAGAAAAACTGATAGATCAGAGGCCGTCATCTTTAGTTTATAGAATCAGCAGTCCAAGTTTCACAATTTTATTTGTTGGAGGTGGCTCACCGACACGCAAGACTGTAAAATACCCAAAAGACTGATCGTCTCAGAGATGCAATCCATCAGACTTAATGCTTCAAGCCAGTGCAGAAAATGCTTTTTCAAGAAAATATGCACTTCACTATTGTCGTGAATCTGGCGATGACTGTGCTGAACATGGTGAACCCAGTGTCGACATGCATACTGCAGCACTGGAGAAAGCCGGCTTGTAATGGTAGTCGATTCGACCTTATGCCGTAACTCTCCTGGACACTCGAGGTCGCAAATGTTCTCGCGCAAGCCATAGGGGCTGGAAAGAACTCTTAAACAGTGTCTGCTCAGCGCCAGATGTGCGTTAGAACCGTCCACTCCAAAAGATTGCTTTTGAGCTTTTTCACTCAACAGAAATTCGGCAAAAGAGAGATGGAGAGTTCGGATAGGGGTATCTTGGTCGGCTGGAATACGAAGCACTGAATGTAGTGGAGCTAGTTGCTGGCTGATAGATTGAAGAGACATCCCTAACAAAGTCGCGAGACCGCTCTTTGACAAAGGTTCTGAGAGGACAACAATCGATCCCACCACAGTGCGAAAATCACGGCATAGTTCTTCCTGCGATCCGTCATCTTCTGTTTGATCAGTGAGGTGCTCCAGCACTGGTCGGTATGTAAGCTCCATCTGTGACATATGACCAATAATCTGATTTCGAAGAATCTTTTGGAGTCTTTCCCCAGGATCGAATCTAGGATCTCCAATATAACGGCACACGGTTGCAGCAACGATGAACAAAGGCACTGCCATCTCGACTAGTTGTCGTGTTTTCTCACTATCGACCCAATCGCTGTGCAGAACTATGCCTTGAAGACGATCATTGTTGTCTTTGCGGATAGAGGCAAGTGAATCGTTCAAGTAGACGGACAGATCGTGTTGAATTGTGCTTAGTGGAACTGCATCCACAAGATCGATGTCTCGAAACATATCAACAGACATGTTTTGGAACACTGGCCAGATGGAGGGTTCGTATCGACTTGTCAAGAAGAGTCGCAAATTTATCTTCGTAACCTGTAAGAGTTGCGACCACAGTTCGAGTATCAATCTGATATCCTTTTCGTTCTCGCACTCGTCAAGTGCATCTACCACCACTATCAGTGTACAGAGATTAGCGCCATTAATGCTTGAATCTTGCAACGGCTGTAGGACGAGTCGGCGGAACTGTTCTGCAATTGCTTTGTCAAAAATGAATGGATCTGAGTCAATAATGTTCGCAACAAGAGCATCCAGTCCAGCGATTTTCTTGGTGAGCTGTCGAATGATCGTGGGAAAGAATCGATTACCAGAACCTCGGTCGCCTTCACCTCGTTTGAAGAAGAAGCTGGCCCCGAGTTCGACACCTCCCATCCCCCTTTGATTGGTTAACCACTGAGAGAAAGTCCAAGAAACGGTCGACTTTCCGGTACCTGCGCCGCCATAGAGCCAAAAGATGCTCTTGCCGTCCAGTAGCTGGGCCCACTGTTGGACTTGAGCCAGTAGATCGGTTCTGGTGGCAGGGTGACACAGTGTGTGTATGCTATCAGACGAATTGAATATAGCTCCTTTGGCGTACGGAATCCTGCCTAAATCAATCTTCTTAGTTTTAAAGACATCGTTTATTTCCTTCTTGAGCCGTCTGACCGCGTTCTCCTTTCCTTCGCCGTAAATAACTGGCATAGAGATTGCGCAAATGCCCAAGAGAGAGTACGCCCAGTCTTCTTCGCGTGTCGTTTGGCGGTTCGTTGCCCAGCCGAGTTTCTGATCAGCCATGAATTGAGAAAACGTAGAACTCCGAAGCGCTAAAAGAGGGATTCCCGTGATCTTATGAATCATCTGCTCGAGAGACCGTTTGTCACCAAGTCGGTTGCCCTCTTTGGAGAAGAATTCCACCGAGGTAGGTGCAAGAAGTTCTTGAAGTGTCCAGCCTCGAGTAAACCATCTACTTTCTCGAAAAGCCTGTTCCCATGAATCCTGAGCATTCTCATCCCCTCTCTTCCGCTTAGATGTTGAGACATCTTCCAGGTGTACGTAACACTTTATCGCGTGCTGATACCAGCGAAACATGGAATTGATTGACTCCGAGAGCTCGGCATCGCTCGACTTCTTGATGCAACAGGTGTCAACCCAGAAGAGTTGTAGACCATCACTGCCAGCTTGGTCTCTGCAAAATTCTATCTTTTTGTAGCCAGCCTTGTTCTTGCCAGTGTTTTCCATCAAGTCTTTGAAAGTGACCTCCTCGCCGTCCGCTCCCCAGGTGTGCGAAAGTATCGCATAAGGAGGGATTTTGTCATCATAGTACTCCACCAAGCTCAAGTTTCCGTGCCCTTCATCTTTTAGGAGGCGCATGGGTGTGCCTGTTTACGGCAAGGTTCAAAACGAGCGCGGTCGTGGGTAGAAAGGAATGAATGGCTTGTTTCTTCGTAAAATTTCGAATCGCAGTCGATGGCAGTTGAGGAGAACCACGGAGAACATCATCAACAATCAATCTAACACTGAGGTATCTCCAGAAATGGCTTCATCTTTTCAGTGTTGGGGAACGCAGAGCATAGGTTACATAGTGCAGAACGCAGCTGAAGTTGCGCCGGCGGCCTTGCTCCGAAATGGAAGCAAATCACGTGGCCTGTTGTGGAAGGTGCTGTGGCTGGAGCACATACGTCTTTACAAATTCCTCTTGCTATGATGTAAGGGTTTTAATACCACGTTTAACCAATGTACCTTTTCATGTAGAGAAGTTTTCTGAAAATCATAGACAATTCATCATGTTCAATCATAACTTCAATCAGATATTAATATGGTGTATTGTCTTTCATTTATACAGAATTGAAAATTTTTTCAATGCGATGCTGAGGACACTGAGGGCAAAATAGTCTCGTAATCCATTGTTGACTAAAGACCACCACTCATATTATCGTGTATTCCTCCTTCCGTATTGCAGCACAGCACTTCTCAAGGTGCGATGGTCTACATATATGTTTGAACATTCAATTCATATTATTTGGATATAAAATACTACACCTGGTGATGGATGGTAAGGGGCCAAGCCTTCGGTATCTGTGTCACTTTCACCATGCCGGGATTTTGGAAAGGTTTTCACTACATAGGGATGTGGAGTATTCCGTACCACGCAAGGCACACACTTTGTAGTGGCATCGTTCATTTCCAAAGGGGCTAAATTTGGATGACGGCTCGAGGGTAATGAGGGCCTAATGAGGGGCCTTCGGGCCCCGATTTGGGCCCTTGGAAGGATACTTTCTGATTCTCATGCTGGATCTTGTATTTAGAGTTCAACATGTAGAATACGATCTTGACATTTATTTGGATGAGTTATTGTTGACCTTCTGAGAGGGCCTATTGGCCGCGTTTAATATGCGTAATCCCTGCGTTTCTACTGCTTCTAATTGGTCAACTTCCAACGCAATTTCGCTTCTAATTTCGCTGTACGGTACAGCCAATTGTACATAGATCTACGCTCTCTACCCCCGTAGCTATCAATCAACTTGCTTCTCTACGCACTCTGCACAGCAGGTTGACAGTTATCAACCACTACGGCAAATCCCGACACCATGAAGGAAGCGGAACGTCCTAATACTATCGATCTACAATCAAGCAGTGATGATACCTATGAATTCAGCACAGAACGGTCCAGCACAGGAGGGAGGATCGATGCGTTAAACTATGTCAGCGATAACCATCCCTTACTCCCTCCCCCGCAGGCCAGGTCCGCTAACAGTTTAATGACGATTAGAAGTCGCGTTCGGCACCACACTGCATTCTGGTGGGATGTGTTCCTGGCTATGCAAGAAGATAAGAACCCTGATTACTACCGGGCTCTTCAATCTGAATTGACGACACTGCAACAAGAGAATAAGCGGCTGAAAAAAGTGATTAGTAAAAGACGTCAGCAGAGTACCACACAGTACCAAGGATAAGGCAACTATCGACTATCTCGGTAGAGCCACGCCGTTAACCCGAGGAATACAAATGGACATAGCTGACGCTATCAAGAAAGATCACGTCAAAGCGGTTTCAAAGAGAAAGAGAAGGAGAACCATAACAAATAAATAGTGGAGGTGATGATCATGAAATGGATACCATTCCAAGGGAGCAGCTAAGACGGTTTCAAAAGGAGAATAAGGCCGGGCAAGCGCGGCTTAAAAGATTGGAAGCTGCTGTAGACAAGCTCGTGCAGCAAAGCTGCCAGGAAGGTCTGTCTTGACTAGTCTAGTCTCATTTCCAGCCTAGAAGCACTCGATCTCTAAATCATATCTAGTATAGCATACATTGCAATTTAGGCTAGTATGAGATTTAGGCTGGTCCTGTGAGAAACAAGCTACTGGGAGAATTAGGCTCCTAGGAGAGTCAAGCTACTGAGAGAAACCTACTGGGAGAAACAGGCTACTGGTAGATTCTCTCTGGGAACCTCAGACATCTTGGGAGTTTTTTAATTCATATATGCCGTTGTAGAATGGGTTGTAGTAATGCATGCCGTTGTAGAACGAGTTGTAGTATTGCAGATTGTTATGTGACAAGCTGTTATGCTGCTGGTTGTCGTGCTCTATACCGTTGTAGAATGAGTTGTAGTAATGCATGCTGTTATAGAACGAGTTGTAGTAATGCAGATTGTTATGCGACATGTCGTTATAAAACGAGTTGTAGTAATACAGTTCGTTGTGCAACAAGCTGTTATGCGACAAGCCCCTGCCGCTCGGATCCCTTGTGACTAGAGGCTTAGTTTTGTCTTTAGCAGGAACTGATGCATCTAATTGGCCGTCGCGGTCGGGTGATTCTTTTCCTCCGAGCAACACAAGATAACTAATTTTAGTTCTAAGAGGGACCATAAATGGGCCCTAATAAACTTCCAACTGCTTAAACAGTCGAATTAATATAGCTAAAATCTTAGCTATAAGCAACTGATCGAAAGCACATTGAGAACTTAGGTCGTAGTCTACATCTTCTATTGACATCATTTAATTCGTGAGATTTATATATCCTCCCTAACTAGAAAGAGAGAGGGTGTTTTTCGGGAGGGTGTTTTTCAGGAGGGTGTTTTTCGGGAGGGTGTTTTTTGGGAGGGTGTTTTTCGGGAGGGTGTTTTCTGGGGTGCCTCTTTCTGGGGGTGTTTTCTGGGGTTCTTTTCTGGGGTCCTTTTCTGGGGTCTCTTTCTGGGGTCCCTTCCTGGGTTTCTTTTCTGGGGGTCTTTTCTAAGGTCTCTCTTAGTCTTAAGTTAGGTCTTTCCTTAGCCTGGATCTTTACTTTGCTGCAATTTGTCAAGTATCGCCCCGACGCGGACGACGTCACAATACCTTATAAAGTTTGGTAGGGAAGTTACTATATCAGGTCTTAGGCCAAAGAGATACGCAGAGTGACTTTATATTAGTCAGATCAATGTTGAGCGATGTTGAACGAAGTTAACTATAAAAGGAGGAGTATCCAGGGTTGTATACCCAGAAGCTACTTCTATATTAGGAACTTTGTCGCACTAGTACAATGCTGTAATAGTCCAGTGCACCAGAGCACCATTGCGCCAAGACCTTCCTTTGTCGTACTAGCGTTCCACGGGACCGGAGCTAGGTGACGGAAATAGTGGGACTTCCCGCCCACCCTTAAAACAACCCCCTTTTTTCTATTTTCTATTATTCTATTAATTGTTATTCAAATCAGCTAAAAAATGGCTAAATATCGCAAAACTACTCGAAAAAACTGTCGACAGCCTGATTCGTCGATTTCGATACCCACAGAGCCTCCACGTGAGCCAGTACGCGACTTCTTTGCGCCTCGCAGGCTATAGCAGGTAAACTACCTCGAAAAAAGCTATTTGAATCACTTGGTATACCAAAAACAATAGGCTATTAAATCCTTAAATCACAATCTACGTATTATAGTAATAGCGTTCATAATTGTGGTCGAAAACCTGCCTTAGAGCCTTATTAATATAAGGCTATTAAGACGGTTAAAGATAGCTCATTTTGTGCTACATCTGTCTCTTATTATGCTATAGCAAGCTCTATTAGCCTAGCTTAAGGATCTAAACATGTAATTTAACAGAATATGGCTTAATTTAGAGTAGGCACCTATAGGGCGTAATAGAAAAAATACATCTATTCTAAAAATATTAAGATACATAAAATATAAGGATTTAAACATTAGTATTAGAATTTAGAGAAATTCAAGTAATATAAATATAGTAACAAGTGTTATTTTGTATGTGGCTTATAACATTAAGCTATAATACATTATTAAAGCAGTATAAAAGCACAAAATGCTCCTTTTAAGATCTAATTTCAATTAAAATGATGTAACCAAATTTGGTATGTATTTGCGTACATTAGATGGAATTGTCAGGAGAGCTATGGTTGGGCCTAAT